TACACAGACACGGATATATATATACAGATATCTAATTTTTATAATGGCTGGAGACGGCTTAAATGGGTAATGAAGAAAAACTTTAATATAAGCTAAACAAAAAAGCAAATGTAAAACGTTTCTACAAGGTTTTGTACCTAATTATGAAAAAACTTTATCGAAACGTTGTACATTTGCTGTCATGTTAAGCTTATATTAAAGTTTTTCTTCATTACCCATTTAAGCCGTCTCCAGCCATTATAACTCAGTTTTGTAAAAACTAAAATTAAATGACTTGACTTTAACAGAACATATAGCTAACAATCTTGACTCCTATAGTGTTAACAGCAATAACATCAAATTGATAAAATACACTAATGACAAATAGAATTTTTAGAAATATTTAAGAAATTAGATTTAACTTTAAATAGAGTTGTAGGTCCAGGAATTGTAGAAATTCACTTTAGGAATCTTTTTTTTAAAGAGAGAGACAATTGTTCAAACGATTGGTCGATGTGTTCGTGTTATGCAAAATAGTAAAATATGAATGTCAATGTGTTATTCTCAATGCTGTTTTTCCTTCCTGATGTTGGTAGACCTGAGACCCATTGAAACATGTAAATATTTTAGTAAGGCTTGGTGCCTTCAAGAAGTTTAAATTATTGTGTACTTTTAAATATTGTTTTAACTGAGTTTTAATAAACCCCAAATGTTATACATACTTGTATTGAGACACATTTTCCTGTTGAACAATGACATTCTCATGAAAGAAAGTAAAACATTCATCAATTTCACATTCCAGGTGGTCTCCAATGGAGTTCAGTAGATCACTAGCCATAAAACTATAAAAATGAAACAAAAAATACTAATTATGATATTGTGATTTAACTCTACGATGAATATAAAATTATCTTTAATAATAAAGCTTTGGTTGAAAATACAAACAAATGACTTTAACCTAGTTTCACAAGTTTTTGTAGTGATCACTGTATTGTACTTTACAAACACTGTTCACCAGTTCCTTGGTTAGTTGTTAGTGAATTGTTGTTTGTAAAATACTTCTGTGTAATTTTAAAATGTGAATGTAGTAAACAAATATAACTGAATGAAGTATCTTCATTTTACAGCAGTTAACTCCAGATTTCTGAAGCATTACAACAAACTAAACTGTAGCAGAGACTGTTTTTGATATGTTGTATAAATGAAATAAACTGCATCAAACACTGTTCCTGATTAGTTGTCACAAACTAAACTACACTAAAAATTGTTTATGATGTGTTGTAACCAATTAAACTGCACCAAAGACTGTTCCATGTGTTGTCACAAACTAAATTACACCAGTGATTGTTTCTGATGTGTTGTAACCAATTAAACTGCAACAAAGACTGTTCCATGTGTGTTGTCACAAACTAAACTACACCAGGTGATTAGTT